CCCGGTACGAACCAATAAATCACAGCCGTGGTACAACAGTAGAATTTAAATAACAATAGGTGTCCATGTACCCAGATAGTGTAGTTGAAGGATTTTTAATGTCACTACATAGGCATACAGATTTAGTGCTGTCATTTAGTATATTTAAGTGTAAAGATAATTTGGGTCAATGATTCTTTTATTGACATTTCATTTTAAGAATCTTAATTCAATTGTTGAAAAAAAATGTTACAACAATATTAAACTGTCTGGTCTAACTGAAGTGCGAATTAAAAAACAGAATAAACAGATAGAACTTGTATTTCATTTCAATGTCTATTTCACAGATTTAGCAGGCATGGCATTCACTTTACTTTATGAGTCATGGCTTATCTCTAATAATATCAAAATGATCCAAGCTTCTCTTTGGATGCTAGCAATGCCATTTGTGTCACTCTGACACATTCTAGAGTGACAACTGAAGTCACATTCACAGGCAGCGTAGTCTATAGGTGGAGAAGTGAAATGTTGCTTTGTGTAAGCCTTGAGGCTTAATACAACATGATGAAATTACATCTACAGATTTCTGTAGAATTGTTGATGAAATTACATCTACAGATTTCTGTAGAATTGTTGATGAAATTACATCTACAGATTTCTGTAGAATTGTTGAAGTATATATATATTGCTTGTTACTGGTCACTGGCCAATTGCATTAAAAATAAATAGTTATTTTTCGAAGTAAATGTAATACCAACTATTGGGTGATCTGTGATGAAACATGCCTCAGACTTGATATATTTTTTATCAATCTCCATTTAAACCTGATCCATGTCCACTGAAAATGACCAAATAGATAAACTGAAGAGAAAGAAACAGTAACTCCAGATAGTTACAGATCATTTGTGATAAAATATATCAACCTTATGAGTGAGAGTACACTTTAATGCTAATATTACGAGTGAGAGTACACTATAATGCTAATCTTATGAGTGAAAGTACAATATAATGCTAATCTTATGAGTGAGAGTACAATATAATGCTAATCTTACGAGTGAGAGTACACTATGATGCTAATCTTATGAGTGAGAGTACACTTTAATGCTAATCTTATGAGTGAGAGTACACTATAATGCTAATATTATGAGTGAGAGTACACTATAATGCTAATCTTATGAGTGAGAGTACACTTTATTACTAATCTTATGAGTGAGAGTACACTATAATGCTAATCTCATGAGTGAGAGTACAATATAATGCTAATCTGATGAATGAGAGTACACTATAATGCTAATCTTATGAGTGAGAGTACACTATAATGCTAATCTTATGAGTGAGAGTACACTATGATGCTAATCTTGAGTGAGTACACTATAATGCTAATCTTATGAGTGAGAGTACACTATAATACTAATCTTATGAGTGAGAGTACACTATAATGCTAATCTTATGAGTGAGAGTACACTATAATGCTAATCTTATGAGTGAGAGTACACTATAATGCTAATCTTACGAGTGAGAGTACACTATAATGCTAATCTCATGAGTGAGAGTACAATATAATGCTAATCTTATGAGTGAGTGTACACTATGATGCTAATCTTATGAGTGAGAGTACACTATGATGCTAATCTTATGAGTGAGAGTACACTTTAATGCTAATCTTATGAGTGAGAGTACACTATGATGCTAATCTTATGAGTGAGAGTACACTATGATGCTAATCTTATGAGTGAGAGTACACTTTAATGCTAATCTTATGAGTGAGAGTACACTATGATGCTAATCTCATGACTGAGAGTACACTATAATGCTAATCTTATGAGTGAGAGTACACTTTAATGCTAATCTTATGAGTGAGAGTACACTTTAATGCTAATCTTACGAGTGAGATACACTATAATGCTAATCTTATGAGTGAGAGTACACTATAATACTAATCTTATGAGTGAGAGTACACTATAATGCTAATCTTATGAGTGAGAGTACACTATAATGCTAATCTTATGAGTGAGAGTACACTATAATGCTAATCTTATGAATGAGAGTACAATATAATGCTAATCTTATGAGTGAGAGTACACTATAATGCTAATCTTATGAGTGAGAGTACACTATAATGCTAATCTTATGAATGAGAGTACAATATAATGCTAATCTTATGAGTGAGTGTACACTATAATGCTAATATTACGAGTGAGAGTAAACTTTAATGCTAATCTTATGAGAGTACACTATGATGCTAATATTACGAGTGAGAGTACACTATAATGCTAATCTTATGAGTGAGAGTACACTATAATGCTAATCTTATGAGTGAGAGTACACTATAATGCTAATCTTATGAGTGAGAGTACACTATAATGCTAATCTTATGAGTGAGAGTACACTATAATGCTAATCTTATGAGTGAGAGTACACTATAATGCTAATCTTATGAGTGAGAGTACACTATAATGCTAATCTCATGACTGAGAGTACACTATAATGCTAATCTTATGAGTGAGTGTACACTATAATGCTAATATTACGAGTGAGAGTACACTATAATGCTAATCTCATGAGTGAGAGTACACTATGATGCTAATCTTACGAGTGAGAGTACACTATAATGCTAATCTTATGAGTGAGTGTACACTATCATGCTAATATTACGAGTGAGAGTACACTATAATACTAATCTTATGAGTGAGAGTACACTATAATACTAATCTTATGAGTGAGAGTACACTATGATGCTAATCTTATGAGTGAGATACACTTTAATGCTAATCTTATGAGTGAGATACACTTTAATGCTAATCTTATGAGTGAGATACACTTTAATGCTAATCTTATGAGTGAGAGTACAATATAATGCTAATCTTATGAGTGAGTGTACACTATAATGCTTATCTCATGTATGAGAACATCAGTTTAAAGATTCCTTACACTATATACACCATACATATTAGTTTACCAAATATTGATTAAACTATGAATTTAAATCTAAAGATAACAAAAATTATCTTGATAATCCAAGTTTAAACATCATGTCTGGGACTTAACTTAAAAAGGAATGTTTTTAGCTTATTTCTTTATTTTGGTTTAAATATACATCTTTAATATATTATCTATATTCCTAGCTGAAATAACTTGATCAATCATAATATTTAATTGATCTAAAATGGGCACTACCTAAGAACAAACACAATAAGCTCAATACTATAAAATGCCAAATTAGCTATTTCAGGTCCTTGAATCATGAAACAACTATTCTGTATTTTTTTATTTTCTGAAACTATAGACATCCCTTGATACGTCAATATTTGTCATTGTGGTGTCACATTCAATGCATGACATTCTTGGTAATGCTCACAGGGGCTTGAGATTGTAGCTCTTTAAATATGGACTGGATTATATTACCTGCCTTTGTACAACTTTTCTCTGTTTTGTTCGAGGTCAGACTATAGGTCAGCCTTGTGATGATATTGTAGGACTCTTAAGATGAGAAGATAAGACACAAGAGAATCCAGACTAGGACAGGAAGAAAATGACCTACCATCCAACCCATAGAGCATGCCAGGGGTGCATGCTCTTCAGCACCGATACATTGTCAGGGTAATCTGCTCAAGACAGCAAGGTTTGGGGACAACTCATTTCCAGAGTCAGGAAGGTAGAGAAGGTAAGGAAAAAAGAGCTTTATGGTGCAAGAGCAAATCTGCATAGAAGAATAACAGATCAGGAAAGTAAGGGCAGTGAGAGAGCTTGGATAACATATGAGCTGCTTGACGGAAACTTGCATGGTCAGACCTATGGCGCTATGAAGAAGTTGGATGCAGAGGGTTCTTGGCACGTTCACTCTAAAAGACATTACATATTTTGGGTGTATTCAGGAAGACATGCCAAATGACAGTGTGCAGACTTGCCGAATGTGGATCATGCTGGCTGTAGACAGAAAAGAGGAGCTAGACTGAAAACCATTAATTGACAAGCAGTGAGGTGATCACCACTGTCAATCCACAGTCCTGAGGACATCTCTGGACAATAGTGAAACATCTAGAGACTGACGGACTCTGCTGATGATATTAATGAATATGCAGTACTCAATGACTGTATAGGTACACATAGGAATTTTATTTGTTGCTTTTATCCCAATTCGTAAACATCTACTTTCCAAAAGACGATTTATGATGTTAGGGGTTTCAAATTTATAATGTACATGTTTCTAATTTGATTAACCTTTTAGTGTTATTTTACGATATACAAATGAATGCCTGATGGGATATTTTGTCAGAACAATCTTTTAAGCAATTTATTGGTCGGAAGTTGAGAGTCCATTCTGTGAAAAAGTTACAGCAAGCCATTTTTCCTAGGCTGATTTCATATCCAGTTTAGTGTAACTTTGTTGGGTTTTATTTCTAACCACTTTGATCTTCCACACATGATACCATAAAGTGCTCCATGTCTGACTGTCACTGTGTTGGCTACATGTGTAACTGATAATATTGATTTAAAATTGCGATAGTTAAGCTCAACCCTTATGATTAACATGGAACAAGTGCATATATCTGATAAAGTTGTTATAAGACCGTGTACATGTCAGCATCATTATATTTGATAATTTACACAAGTGTACACACACATTTTAATATATACACATGTACATATATGTACATGTAAACAACTGGGGTCAAGATATATCACAGTTGATATTCAAGTTGTTTTCGTAAAAAAGGAATTATATTACACCAATGTATTTCAATTAGAACGATGACTTTGTACATTATAGAAAATATTGTGACCAATAAAGGGAAAGAAAACTCAGAAAATGATTTTGAATATAATCAGGTGATAATCATGTGTCATTTGTCACATCAATGTCTTTTGGGAATAAAATTTCATTGCCAGTCATAGGTTAATGTAGTGAATATATGACGGACTCAAATATAAAACATCACTATTTCAAATGGTTAGTGATTTGAAATGTGAAACGTTTGAGAAACTGGTCTACCATAATTTACAACATTGGTGACACTTACTTGTATCTCTCAAAAAGTGATTGTGCTTCGTCGAAACCATTATTCAGCAACATGTGCATACCGCCCAATGCCATCTCTGCTTCATCATGCCCAACAGTTTCGTCGCTTCCATTACTATCCATATCTGCGATAACGGTTTTCGCTGCCATTTTGATTCTAGGGTTTCAGAAGGAATGTTAGGCGGTAGGCAGATCCTGTCAAATGTACGTATCCATCTTGTTTGTGAGGGTAACCCAAGAGACACGACTTCCGGTTATCATTTCGCAATCAGTTTTTTTTCTACCAAAGCAGCAAAAAATGTTGATGGTTCAATAACAGTAAACGTAGGATAAAATGCTGTCGAGAGATGAATTTATTTAAATTCAATTTATACAAATAAATGAACGAACCAGACATTGATGACTAACTAAATTGGAGTATCTCCCCTCAAAGTGCCCCTTTTCGGAACTCTCTGAATTTGTATACATTCCGTATACCTCGGACGTTTACAATAAGTAAAAAACGTAATTACTAAGAGAAAACGTGCAAGTATCGTTTTGTTGTGACAGAAAAAGGCGATGTTCTAGGTAATATAAAGTAATGACATGTAGAGTCTATCATGGACTTAGAAATGTTATTAGCTACTGATTTCTAGAAACATTTGTAACTTTATTGAAGTGTCCCTGATGAGAAGATGAAGGTAAATTTATTTGATCTCATCACAGATTTTTTTTACATTTAGTTGCTGAAAACATGGATACAGACATACTTAAACAGCAAGATACCAGAACGTTGCTGCGGGAGAGATTCCTTCGTGTGATGTCTGCTGTAGTTGGTCAAGACGCCTATGTAAAAATGCACGAGAAGACAAATGTGTCGTGCAAACTCGGCCCGGTAGACTTCGACATTCAGCATGTCCAGGTGATGAACCTCCTCACTCCAATGGGCACGGTACCGAATGCAATCCTACGGACCTCTGACATGTTTGGTATCCGTGTAGATAACCTAAAGCTTGACTCTTCATGATCAGATAATGTAAGCTATGTAGATATTTCATCAGTATGTCAATAAATTACCACAAATTAAAAATTTTGAGTGTCAGTTTATTTGCACTTAAATGAAAAATGCATGAATAAAACAACAGAGAAGATAGAAATTAATAACTTTAATTGGATTTTGGAAAAAATTATAAGGAAAACCTATTTAAGTCATATTTGCTGAAGTAACCAGCACAAACATTGCTTATTTGACTGAATTCAGATTATGGAAGTAGTTCTTAGTATGCTCACTAATTAAATGTCATTTCCTTAATCTGTGAAATTACAGCATGATACAAACGTTACGTTTGAAAATTGGAAAAACATTATACAGAGGAGAACTGAAGAACTATAGTTGTGAAATTACATAGCACAACTGTAGTGACAACAAGAGTAGATTATCTCCCCTTATCATGTTACTTCTTGAAGTTGGGAAATCCATCAACTGCTCACAATTATTTTTATATCAAATAGAAATTGCTTCCAGTGATTGTACCCATTGTTTCAGTCATGTACAGGGCTCTCACACCCCATTTTGGGACTGGGGCCCGAGGCCCTTAGAATTGGGAAAAATAATGTTGTTTTCCTTAGAATTGGGAAAACTTGGGGTCTAAATTGGGAAAAAAGATACTATTTTACATTGGGAATGGAGCCGAATATTGGCCCCAAATCTGGCAGATCGAGAGCCCTGATGTAAATCTTGGATAATCAAAATATCATATGTCAATGTTTCCAGATGACAACAAGGCTATATTTGGTGTTGATAAAGCACTGACCTACCTGACCAGAGACATTAGCCAGCCAGCAATAAGTGAAGCTCATTTTCATACCAAAAATGTATATATGCAAATGATTTAGCATGTTCAATTTAAAAATTACTCGGCTTTCTATCTCTGTTTTTTTACTTGGTAAAAGATTCGCCATGAACTTTTGGGAAAAAATAGTACATAAACACATCAAGTCTAGTTAACTAAAATTTCTTTGCTGTAACTTTACAAGAGGATATCTTAAGACATTCACCAGTCTGTCCATTATACATTCCTGCAACACATCACATCATCATATGCATTTTGACATCACTAAAGAAGAGATATAGAAAGATAATATCATAAACATCTATTTATGTTAGTTAAATATTTTAAATGCTGTTTTTACAGTATCTAAGCTGTATTTCTTAGTTCAATTTGTTTGAAAAGTTTCAATTTTGTGTAAGAATTATAGATGTTTTTGATGAATTTTTCATTGAACCTTGCTAGAGAAAAGTAAAATGAAAATTCCTAGGCTATCTCTTAAACCTTATTAGAATTGTAAGCTCCTGTAAGATCCCCAATATATAAAAAAAACTAAACTTATATGATTTATGTATCAAAATATGTGTATTTATTTGATGTATTTACAGTTTGGATGATGTGTAATAAACGAAAACACAAGATACAGTTGGAGATAGCAAAACAAATTACAGCCTAAACAAGGCAATATAGATAAAAAATGAAATTATAGATACAGCCAACAGGACAGACAAAGGAAATTATAGATACAGCCAACAGGACAGACAAAGGAAATTATAGATACAGACAACAGGACAGTCAAAGGAAATTATAGATACAGTCAACAGGACAGTCAAAGGAAATTATAGATACAGACAACAGGACAGACAAAGGAAACTATAGATACAGCCAACAGGACAGACAAAGGAAATTATAGATACAGCCAACAGGACAGTCAAAGGAAATTATAGATACAGCCAACAGGACAGACAAAGGAAATTATAGATACAGCCAACAGAACAGTCAAAGGAAATTATAGATAGAGCAAACAGGACAGTCAAAGGAGAAAATTATAGATACAGCCAACAGGACAGACAAAGGAAATTATAGATACAGCCAACAGGACAGACAAAGGAAATTATAGATACAGACAACAGGACAGTCAAAGGAAATTATAGATACAGTCAACAGGACAGTCAAAGGAAATTATAGATACAGACAACAGGACAGTCAAAGGAAACTATAGATACAGCCAACAGGACAGACAAAGGAAATTATAGATAAGCCAACAGGACAGTCAAAGGAAATTATAGATACAGCCAACAGGACAGACAAAGGAAATTATAGATACAGCCAACAGAACAGTCAAAGGAAATTATAGATAGAGCAAACAGGACAGTCAAAGGAGATTATAGATACAGCCAACAGGACAGTCAAAGAAAATTATAGATACAGCCAACAGGACAGACAAAGGAAATTATAGATACAGCCAACAGGACAGACAAAGGAAATTATAGATACAGCCAACAGGACAGTCAAAGGAGATTATAGATACAGCCAACAGGACAGTCAAAGTTAAATTATAGATACAGCCAACAGGACATTCTTCATTGTGTCCAACAAAAGTATAGAGTATATAATAAGCCAGACTTAATGGATACACCCTCAATAACGTCAGAAAAGATGCTAAGTAGAGCACAAAACCAGGTGAGAATGATAGACCTGGGGACTGAACTGATTGTGGCTGGTTTTCCAGTTGAATGTAACACTTTGTGAGCTACAATGATATTTTGAATGTGAGATATAGGGATAGGCTGCATGATTAAGTACAGATATAAAATTATCAACATAAAGAGTAGAGAGGTTTTATTGTGAGGATCAAGTGAAATTTCCGCATACTCATTGGCATTTTAATAAACATATTTTGTTTTTTTTCCAAAATTTGAAGTCTAATGTTATTGTGTTCTTTCAAACAAAATTTGATTTCTTGAAATCTTCATACAGTATTTGGTAATTTCATCTTTTCTGTCTCTCCATCTGTGTTTAATGTTTTCTGTCACCAATTACTAGGGTACTTGCAAACTCCAGAAGAACTGTTACACTTAATGTCATACACATATTCCCTGAAACACCTTGACCAAGTGGTGATACGTCAAAAAATATATATAAATAGATCTTGGAGTCATCTTAACTTTTGACGTTCTACATAATAATTTTCACTAAAATGAATACTATCAAGCAAACTGTTATAATTAATATGCGAGAGGAATCTAACTCAAAACTTCACATGTTCTTCCGAGTGGTCCAATTTAGTATGTTACAATTTGGGAACTGATTGAAAGTCAAGATGGCTACATGTACCCATTTTGCATTTTGAAAATTTAAATCTTTTAACACTTTTCCCAGAATGCACTACAAATTTTTGACTGGGGATTGATTGCTGGAGTTCATGTTCTTCTGTCTGTCCATTCATCCATCCATCCATGCATACATGTGAGTCAAAGGCTCAAGAGAGCTATTCCCATGGGGCTCCATCTGTTGTCACTCATCTGTGAACTTCAATTTCCAATCTCTATTGTAATGAGTTTTGTGTAGAGCAGTGGTTACCTGACCACGCGAGTACTTGCGGCTATAGGCCACTCATCCAAATTTTACATGTAATTTCCTTGAATTTACTGATACTTATTTTGTATGATTTTAAATTTTTTATTCTCAAGTTTTTGTCTAGACTAGTCATGATTTCACTGTTGTTTTTTTGTTTGATCGAGAACACACCAGACATCTTCATTCCTTCCAGAAATTCTTCATGTTCAGTATAAAAGTGCAAATTTCATTTTTGAGATTCAAGTAATTTGTTTAGATGAAAAAGAGATTCCAGAGGGAGTTTGGCAATGGGACTCCAAAATCTTTGGTTTTCAACCTCAGCCAAGTGTATAGTTTAGTGACCAGAATAGAAGGAAAATTGCACTCTAAAACCAAGTGATTTTTAGGTTACCTGCCCAAAGCCAAGGGGTCATTTGCCTTCATGAATCCCTTGTCTGTACCGCCAGTGTCAACGTTTTCCATTTCTCAATAATCAAGGGGTCTACAGTTGAGATATATACTGGACCAGTGGTATGCTGAAGATTGTTAAATGACCTTGGCCCACTTTTAAGGCCAATGAGTCAAATATGTTAAAATCTTTATCAAGAGTTTCTTGGCTGAAGGCTCCATATGCCTGTATTGCTTGTCTGCTTTGCAGCTAAAACAGAGTTGATATAATTGGAAGATTTTATTCTGTTATAACTTAAATGTTTATCACAAACATTATACCTCTTCTTTAAAATGTTCCTGTTATATGTGAAATAACCAAATTCATGGTATTGTGTCACTTCTGTGACACGGAATATCAATAACTTTAGAAAAAAATGTTAGAATACACTTTGTCCTTCATTAATGTCATGTAACACTTTTGTCCTTCATTTAATGTCATCCTACACTTTGTCCTCCATTGATGTCATGTTACACATTGTCTTCAATTAATGTCATATAACATTTTGTCTATATTAATGTCATGATGCACTTTGTCCTTCTTTTATGTCATATCACACTTTGCTCTCCATTAATGTCTGTCATAGTACACTTGTCCTCCTTTAAAGTAACATTACACTTAGTCCTCCTTTAATGTCACATTACACTTAGTCCTCCATTAATGTTATATTAACACTAAGTCATCCATTAATGTCACATTACACTTAGTCATCCATTAATGTCACATTACACTAAGTCATCCATTAATGTCACATTACACTTAGTCATCCATTAATGTCACATTACACTTAGTCCTCCATTAATGTTATATTAACACTAAGTCATCCATTAATGTCATAGTACACTTAGTCATCCATTAATGTCACATTACACTTAGCCATCCATTAGTCACATTACACTTAGTTATCCATTAAAGTCACATTACACTTAGTCCTCCATTAATGTTATATTAACACTAAGTCATCCATTAATGTCACATTACACTTAGTCATCCATTAATGTCACATTACACTGTCATCCATTAATGTCACATTACACTTAGTCATTCATTAATGTCACATTACACTTAGTCATCCATTAATGTCATATTACTCTCAGTCATCCATTAATGTCACATTACACTTAAGTCATCCATTAATGTCACATTACACTTAGTCATCCATTAATGTCACATTACACTTAATTAATGTCACATTACACTATGTCCTATGTTTAATGTCGTCTTACACTGTGTCCTCCTTTAATATCATGTTACACGTTCTTTAATTGCATGTTAGACATTGTTCTTCTTTAATGTCATGTTACACATTGTTCTTCTTTAATGTCATGTTATACATTAATGTTTAATATCATGTTACACATTATTCTTCTTTATAGTCAATGCTTGAAGACAAGTTCTACAAGACTACTATAGATTAAGCATATGATAAGTTTGTTTTAAGTACACAAGGGGACAAAAATAACAAAAGTACCTGTCCCTTTCTTATAACTGCCTATATTATAAAAGAGCAAAGTAAGATATAAAATCTGATTTGACATGGCACATCATTACTGATCAGAAAACTGCCCCAACACTTCAGAAAAGCCACTGGTAATGTACAGCCTCTCCTTGAATAAAAAGGGCATTCAAAAGCTTAAAAAAGTTTTTTTAAAAATTACTTTTGGTTTCTAAAACAAACTTATATATAATTGATGAACCATGTAAAAATATCAACATAAAACACTTTGTGGGCAATGAAACAAGTTTATTTATACACACATTTAATTTGCACATGAAGTTATGTACATGATGAGAGCATGCAGACTGAATAGCACCAATAAATTAGTGAGTTCTACCCTGGAGTGAAATATACAACAAACATATACCCTGTGAGGCACTAATGCCACCCTTTCTGGGGCCTGGCACAATGCTACACCCTTCTGGGGCCTGTCACAATACTACAACCTTCTGGGGCCTGGCACACTGCTACACCCTTCTGGGGCCTAGCACAATACTCCACCCTTCTGGGGCCTGGCACAACACCTATGCCTTTCTGGGGCATAGCAGAATACTCCACCTTTCTGGGGCCTGGCACAATACTCGACCTTTCTGGGGCCTGGCACAATACCCCACCTTTCGGGGACCTGACCTGACATTATGCTCCACTTTTCTGGGGCCTGGCACAATACTACACCCTTCTGGGGCCTGGCACAATACTACACCCTTCTGGGGCCTGGCACAAGACTACACCCTTCTGGGGCCTGGCACAATACTCCACCTTTCTGGGGCCTGACACAATACTACACCTTTCTGGGGCCTGACACAATACTACACCCTTCTGGGGCCTGGCACAATACTCCACCTTTCTGGGGCCTAGCACAATACTCCATCTTTCTGGGGCCTAGCACAATACTCCACCCTTCTGGGTCTCGCACAATGCTACACCTCTCTGAGGCCTCTTACAATTCTCCACCCTTCTGGGGCTTAAACCAATGCAAAACCCTTCTGGGGCCTCCAGTCCTCACATAAATACGAACTACATGACCGTGTGCAATGACTTCAAATGTATGCTGTATAAAGTGATGGATTGTGCTGGGATTCCACCAATCAATTCTAGGTTTACATGTGAACTAGTACAACTAATCAGATCATGGCTCTGACATGGGTTCATAGATTCCACATATCACGTGCTGGTTTTATGAGTGCCAGCAGATTTCAACCAATCACACAGATGATATAAGGGCTTTCTCCTATGAGTAAAACTTTAATCATCATGGAAGCTGAATTGTAAAAATCATTTTCAATTCAGAAAGTTTTAAAATGAAAAGAAATATTAAAATACCACACTTAATGTTGATTCATTAAAATATTGTTAGTTTAGTTTCTATTCTGATATAAATACTTTCACAAACATGTTAAGTCCTCGTTAAACATTAGCTTGATAAAACAAATTTGGCAGTTCTTGTCTACATATATAGGAGATATTTAGTCATTATCACTTTTGTTTGTTATATTTAGAAATTTATTTGCATATTTTTGGTTGCAATACATCTATGAGTATTTTCACTATTCATTGAGGTAAACTTCTTGTGTATGTGTATGATTTTCAAAAAGCTTATTGAATTCATTTTAAAATGCAACTTGATCATGGTTTTATCCAATTAATATTATATAATATGGCAGTGATGAATAGTGCAACACTATACACAGTAATAAATTAACTTAGCAATTCTTTCACGACAGCAGGAAATTATTCACAATGTACAACAAACATATCATTTCAAACCATTAAAATTGTTTGTCAATACTCTCATACATTTCAAATCTCACTCACTGGAAGCTATGATTAAGTCATTCCTTTCAAAGAAAAAAAAAATAATAAACAGCTAAGAAGTTGTTTTGGCTAGATTTTTCAAAAACATCACAAATTTTCGACGACTTAGATACTCACAAGTAAACGATAAATAAAACAATTTCTCTAAAGAAATCAATGAAAAATGCCTTTCAAAAGCAAATTTGACCCAGCCTGAAAATTGGTGAACATCACAGCACACAGCATTTGTAAGTAGGAGATAAGACAGACGTGGGACAATCCCAGCATGATTTGCATCCGAGAATGATTGCCCAGGCAACCATAGCGACTAGTCATATTTATAGTTACAGTAGCATGCAGATATTATCTCATTATTGCTTGGCTACAACTTCACCAAAATCGAACACCACAAAGATGGCCTTTGTAACAAACTTTGCTGAACACTACTTGAACTTCACAGTTAACAGTTACAATTTAGTTGGTTTACAGCATCGACACACACATCTACATGGTTAACATTCCATCTCTTTTTGCCTCGCCACTACACACTCTAATAATCAACATGGCTGCCAGCTAATGCAATTACTCATAGCCACAAAATGCATCACCTGTTTGCATGTACATCCCTTCAATACAAGTAAATACCGGTCATATATATTGCACATGTTTTATAACATCACCCTACTCACACCTCTCACACTTCTGAGGTTTCACACATCTGTGGGTTGTTAGCATGGACTGACCGGTAATCTTTATTAAAACTGCAGACCTGGACCAGCACTATCGAGACCAGGAATTATAGTCCTGACCTCAGCTATACCTTGCACACCCTTACAAGTCTTCATTACTTACAGGCAGTCTTTACTTTCCCTGATGTTGAACTTCTGACTATTGCTCATTACTGAGAGCAAATTCAGGTAAAGAACACAACCAATCTTTCTGTTACATGCTGTTGCGTGTTCTCTTATAACACAATGCTCGCAATAAATTATTGCATTCAGGGAGCGAGTACATTTTCAGTTGAAGCACGCATCCAGCTTACCATCAACATGAATCATAACCGCAGGTTCTGTATGGTTACAGTTAGTGCATTGAGTCAACTGTGACTGTCAGACCAGCACTGCTTCATTAACCGTGGACAAGGAATTATGCACGGTAGGTCTGGTAACGGTAAGGGATTGACTTGGTCAGAAAAACTCTTGTCACAGTAGGATTCATCTGCTGAGGCTGTGAGAGCGCTCCCGGTCGCCATCGTTAGTTGTCTCTTCTTCCGCTTTAACTTGATATTTGGCAAAGACACGATGCATCATGGCCTGCTTGAGGGTTAGTCGTTCAGCTGGGTCATACTCAAGCATCTGATTGATGAGATCAAACAAGTCGCGATGATCAGGGTTTTCTGGGTCTCTAAGATACCGCTGCAAAGAACAAAGGCCTCACATTAGTTATCCATGTAGGAAAATGAACAAAACAAAGATATTACAGTAAACTGGAAAAAATCAAAACTTCTTTCTAACCAGGGATTATTGATATAGAATAAATTGGTATATCCTATTCTTAGTGTTTTCCTTAAACAGGTCCTAAACAAATACAACTAGAATCAATATGTGTATCATCATACTGTATAACATGAAATAATCAGAAGTATTTTTACTTCTTTATTTTGTGAGTTTTTTTTCTTTTAGGATACAATATTTCCAATGACATATTTTTTTATCTTGAATCTTTTTTTTTTCTTTTCCATTTTAAAAGTATGTATGCAGCCTATAAAAATGAATGTTTCTACACAACAATCATTGCATGTTATACAGTTTTAATTACACTTAATAAATTCTACCTGAAATAAAACCAGTGTAAAGTTATTGTGACAGATCAGGTTAGTATGGCTAAATATGGTTGTTCTATAATACAATCACTGTAAAGCAACATTCTTTTTTTATGTGCAATTTATTTTCCTGAACTTCGTGATGGAAACAAATGCGTAAAATTTCATTTTAAATGAAGATAGACATAACAAGGGCTGTCTAAGACACAGATTAAGATCCCCGAAAGGGACAAAATTTAAGTATAAAAAATAACAAAGGGCTATAACTCCTAAATTTGCAAACATGAGAGATGGTTCTTGTGCACTGCACTTGTTGTTGAGATCTATCTACTTCTGAAGTTTTATGTTGATACCACTTATAATTTTTGTTATGCTCCGGACAAAATTATGACTGACAGATGGACAAAGTAACAACTACATGCTCTCCCTACAGGGGGCATAATGACAGATAATAACATAGCTTTACTTCATAAAAGATAATCACAACAGTGAAAATCGCTGAAGTTCATAACTGTGAATGTTGGTTTACAATAAGCATGTTGTTTTGTACCTGTTTGTGTGATGTAATACATTCTATACTGAAAGCATTCTTTGTTCTCTAAACAACGAAATATTCCACCATATCAATTCGTTGTGTTCTCATTTTAAAAAACAGCCTTGCTTCTGTACTTACCATATCATTTACATCCACGAATCATTAAAGATAATTATAGGTAACAGTTAGCATCAATCAACAGATGTCTAGTCAAGACACCACCTACAGGTGTATTGTGGTGTACCATAGTCAGGTTAATACAAATCTTGGTTTTATTAACTATAAGTTACGATCAGTATCATTCAACAGAACGCTAGTCAAGACACCACTTACAGGTGAATTGTGGTGTACCATAATCAGGTTGATACAAACCTTGGGTTTTGAGTAACAACAAGTTCCAATCAGTATCATTTAACAGAACTCTGATCAAGACACCACCTCCAGGTTGATGCAAACCTTGGGTTTTGAGTAACACTAAATAACAATCAGCATCATTCAATAGAACTCATGCCTACAGAGACATATGTCGTAATTTTTCATTAATGTGTACCAGTATTAACCATTTTTGTGCGACTAACAAATCCAGTGCTCCCGTTATCTCTACGTACTTCACACATTTCTCATGTCATTCTAAAGTAAAAGCTACTTCATACAAATTCCTTATACATGCAAAAACCTAGTATTTGGTACTTCCAATAATTTTCCAATCATCACTATTAGATTTTCCCTGTTCATATTCAAGATGTATTATTTCCCTGGTGGGATACAAATATGATATCAGACTTGACCATCTCAAGAGCAAGATGAGGTAAATTCAATCCAAGAGCAAATACTCTCAAAGATTTCCAAAAATCATACAAAGAAACTCATTCAAAATCAGTCACACCAGACACTTTTTTAAGATTTATTTTTTTAAAAGAACATCTCATCAGGAATCAATATGAATCCAATTATTTCAAATGAAAATAGTTTTCTCTTCAGTTATAAAATCGATATAATCACATAAAGGTTTCAGGTATAAATCTACACTAAAGAAAGCTGTTCAGCATTTATCACCAGATTCAAGACTCATCCGCCATTTGTGACAGTTATATCTTTAATTTGATAAACTTCAATAACACTGGATATCTTGCATAAAGTTGTGAATCCTTTATTTCGATGACACGTTGGAGTTATTGATAGATTAGTAGGTAAGTATACATGTATGTATTTAATACAATCTTTCTAATTATAGATCTGTTTTCTAACATACCAACAAGTCACTGACAACCAAGTCCATGCCATTCAAAACCTTCTGACAACACACAACACTTCAAGTCATTCGCAAAAGATCAAGCCATTTTAGACAACCAAAACCGACCATACCTGACAGGATGGTGACACATGCATTAAACACCAACTTAATATGCCTATGGCAACGAAAACCTTCCTTTTGCAATGCCATGCTGTACTGCTTCATTAACAGTTTTGCTTCTCTCCACAGTTGACATTCGTCTACCTATCTAAATATTTTCCCTTAGTTCTTCTGTCTACATATATTTCACTGTCACCTTTCCTTGTACCTATGATTTACCGTCCATGTTAACAATGCTAGAGTCATGCTTAGTTTTACCCACCTCAGTTCCCTTACACATCATACCCTTCCAAAATAAGTAACATCATTACGATTCACTTATAACACAATGATTTACCTATGACAGTAACACCTCAGTTCCCTTACATATCATACCCCTCCAAAGTAAGTAGCATCATTATGATTCGCTTATAAAACAATGACTTACTCATGAAAGTAACACCTCTGCTCCCTTGCCACATTCTTTTCCTATGCAACTATTATCTTTTCCATTCCTTTACAACACAATGTTTGACTTGTGCAGGTAATATCTTCTCCATTCATTACCAAACCATGCTTTACCTAAGTAATATTTCTGTTCATTACCACAACATGCTTTACTTAAGCAAGTAATATTTTCTCTGTTCTCTTACCACATCATGCTACATCTATGAAAAAAACTTCTGTTTTTTTACCACACCATGCTCTATTTGATGAGGACATCTGTAATCATGCTCACTCCATAGCCAAGTAGAGTAAAATATCCACCTTCTATGATTGGTCACTGTCATACAGTCTCTATCCCACTAGATGGATTAGATTGCGGTCCTCCATCCGGTGCTTGTGTTGTGTAGACCGGATCACGTTCAACAGTGTTATCACAACCAGAAGGCAAAATGACCGACACACAATTGTCAGCATCGTCTATAACCAAATGCTCGCCACCAGAATTAGTCCTTTGAATATTCTGAATGGAGTTGGAATCTGCTACTGAGGGAGAGCCAAGGTCAGACATCACAGGACTGTTTGGAGTTTTACCTGTGAATATATTGCTAACAGCGATACCAGAAGGCAGAGGAGAAGCATGAACCCGAGACGGCTCATGCAGCACCAGTTCGCCTTCCACAACACTGGGATCGGGATCTGGGTCAAGGCCCACTTCAGATAAAAAACACTGCTCTGATGTGGGTGCCTGTTTTTTACTCCGTTTCCTGTGTGCACGCTTAGCAGTTTTCTTCTGTGTTTTATTCTGAGCTTCCTCAACCTTGACCTGAGTGTCACTGTCCAAGGGTGTGTCTGAGAGAACAGCTGTGTAGGCCACAATGGGAGGTTTCTGTATTGGGGATGGTTCAAGAACCATGGTTTGAGTTGGCAAAGTCACCATATTCCTTGTATCAGTGGGATCATACACCAATGCTGCTGGCTGCTCTAGCACTACAGTAACAGTATCGGGTGTTGGATCAGTCACAGCAATCACTGGAGTAGGATTGGCCACTGCGATGACAGGCGGGGGAACTGTCACCGTCATCACAGGCCCTGCAGGATTCATCTCTACAATGGTCTTGGCGGTGTCTCTGACTGCCTCCTGCTCACAGTCAGCACCTTGGGATAAAAAACCTTGCTGTGAATCTGTCTGGCTGGTATCTTGCTGTTCTACATCTCCTCCCACTTCTGTGTTACATACAGTGCTTGTCTCGCCTTCTGTTTCATTGTTGCTGAGATTAGTTTCAAACGAAAAAGCATTAGCTCCTGATGAGGCAGTGTCAGGGGCCTCTGCAGAGGATGGAACCTCAATAATGGGGCTAATCGGCTGGTGCTGTGACATATTTAAGAAGACACTTGGGGTAAAAGTCTGGCTTAGCAACAGCTTGAGTGGATCTTCCTCAGGCTTCTTCTCCTTTTCTTTAGGAACTTTCTCTGGTTCTGACCAGGATCTTTCCGTCACTTCCACTTTGAGATCTTGTATTGGCCCTTTGACTGGTTCTTCTGGTTTCTGCTGGTGATTAAGCTCGGATTTTGACCTATCTACAGAGACAGGCTTAGCCAGTGCAAGCTTGAGCAGTTGATATGCTGACAGTGGTTTCTCTTCTCTTTTTGGGACGGGTTCCACTTCCAGTTCTTCCTCATGTCCAGACACATGCCCAGACTTTCTACGATCACCTCCTCCACGCTCTCTTCGCCGACGTTGGAGACGTTCAGCAACTGTTTCTTCAGGGTCGAATCCAGGTGACTCACCTCTCTCAGAGATGGAAGTTTTTCGACTAGTTGACTCATCAAAACTGTCAAAGCTTGCAGGCTTTTCTATTTTGTGTGTACTAGATTCATCCTTATGTGAACTACTGTCTTCAGACCCAAACATCTGTCTCCAGGTTCGGATAGCTGATCCCTTGTCCATTCGTGATGGAGACACAACTTTGACCTGTAATCTGTCAGGTGACAGTTGCTGTTGTTCCGGAACCCTCTCTACAACCTCCTCTGCTGGCTGTTCTTCCTCCATGTTCTCCTCCATTCTTTGTCGCCATGATTTCCTTCGAGTAAAGGCATCGTAAGTCTTTGGTTCCTCAGCAGCTGGTGAAGCCTCTTTTTCTTTTTTAGGTAATGTCAATTCAAGATGCTCTGGTTCAGCAACCTCTAGCTCTTTCTTCTGTCTCCATGCTTTAATGCTGAGCACCTCTGGCTCCGCGGCCTTGGTATCCACCACCGTTGTAGTCTGCTCTGTTGGTGGATTAGAGGCATAGTCATCCTTGGGTTTCTCTGTTTCACTGGCCATTTCCATCTCAAGTTTGAGACGCCATGACCTTGGCTTGTTAGGATCCTTAGGAGGAGACATTTTTGCTTGTGCTTCTGCAGCCTTTCTTTTCCTTTCTTTGTATGTTACATAGCCACTTGTTTTCTCTGGTAGTACCTTGTTTGGCGTTTTCTGTTTCTTTGGAACCACCTCTGGAACTTTCTCCTCTACTTTCATTGGAATATTTTGTGCCACCTCTTGACTAGAACTCAGCTCTGTATGGTTCTGTTCAACATGGCTCACCTCACCAGAATCTTCCCTAGATTTGGCAGCTGATCTTGACCGGCGTTCTGAGGATTCCCTTTGTGATCCATTGGTTGGGACAGTCAGTTCTGCCATCTTTCCTTCTTCTAATGAAGCTGATTTTTTCCTCTCGGCTGGGTTGTCTAGAGGAAGACGTTCTGCATAAAATTTCCGACATGGACCAAAGAACGGATGGTTCATTGCCTCTCGTAAAGTAATGCGTTCCTCTGGTATGTACTCGAGCATCATCTCAGTCAACTCAATCAGTTGCCGATGTTCTGGCCCCTTGTCTCGAATGTAATGCTGAAAAACAACAATACAATACACAATATACGACTGGAAGTAAACGCTGGAATTTTTTTTTATATATAAAATTTTGAAGAATTTACATAAACCATTTTCATATTTCTCACAAGTATTTTGAAATATCTTTAACAATTGTGATAATTTTCATATAAACAATAAACTTTCATTAACAATCACATAATATATTGTTGAAATTTATTTGAACTTATTTAAAACTCTTCATCATAGCAACTATAATAAGAGACCCCAGAGGGATTTTGGCGTCCACTATCATATGGTCTAAACTGTTCCTTTATCAGTTGCATTTTTCCATTATATTTTCTCCTTTCCCATCCCTTGAAAAATGTATGCAAAGGCGGAGACCAAGAAGAACCTAAATATCAATTTTGATAATGATTAATCCAAATCATCTATAGATATAATTAGAAGGGGTTGAGGGTAGATATGTCTGAGAAAGACACATCCAATACTTATAAAGAAATAGCAAAAACAAACTTGACTTTCAAAACTGAACATGGCAGCTTGTGGACCATTTTGTTTCTTCAATCAGTCATGAAACTGAAGATGAAGCTTCCTATGAGATTCAAGAAAGATCAATAAAAAAAAACAGGAACAACAAGAATTGTTAAAGGATGGATGGACAACAGGTGGACAATGGACCACAAAGGCGATTTGAACAGCCAACCATCTGATGGCAAGCTAAAATTTCTCTCTTTTTCTAAACAAAGGATGACATAATTTATCAACTTCTAATCAACACAACATCAATTTCTTTTATTGATTTTCAAAAGAATAAACATGATTGATACAGTTACAATGTGTAAGATCATGATGTGTACTACGCCCATAAGTTAATGACATAAGGAAACTGTAAAGAAACAAGATAATCTATTTAGTATATGTTCTTCAGATATTGAATCTAATTGGCAAAAAGTTCATCCATTAAGAAATGCTATTTGCCAGTACTATAACAAGCTTCTATTGGTGTCACTACCACCTCTTTAATTACTGACACTTACTGATGTAAACACGCTCATTAATGACCGTCATTAACTGGTGAAATTCCGCTAACTAACGACTATCATTAATTGTATAGACCCCCTAACTGCCTGTAATAACAGACTAAAGTAAGGATAGTGTTATAACACTGATACAGTGATATACAGACCCCCTAACTACCTGTAATAACAGACTACAGTGAGGATAGTGTTATAACACTGATACAGTGACTAGGATATACAGATCCCCTAACTACCTGTATATACAGTGACTAGGATATACAGACCCCCTAACTACCTGTATATACAGTGACTAGGATATACAGACCCCCTAACTACCTGTATATACAGTGACTAGGATATACAGACCCCCTAACTACCTGTAATAACACACTACAGTGAGGATAGTGTTATAACACTGATACAGTGACTAGGATATACAGACCCCCTAACTTCCTGTATATACAGTGACTAGGATATACAGACCCCCTAACTACCTGTAATAACACACTACAGTGAGGATAGTGTTATAACACTGATACAGTGATATACAGACCCCCTAACTACCTATAATAACAGACTACAGTGAGGATAGTGTTATAACACTGATACAGTGACTAGGATATACAGACCCCCTAACTACCTGTATATACAGTGACTAGGATATACAGACCCCCTAACTACCTGTAATAACACACTACAGTGAGGATAGTGTTATAACACTGATACAGTGACTAGGATATACAGACCCCCTAACTACCTGTAATAACACACTACAGTGAGGATAGTGTTATAACACTGATATAGTGATATACAGACCCCCTAACTACCTGTAATAACACACTACAGTGAGGATAGTGTTATAACACTGATACAGTGACTAGGATATACAGACCCCCTAACTACCGGTAATAACACACTACAGTGAGGATAGTGTTATAACACTGATACAGTGACTAGGATATACAGACCCCCTAACTACCGGTAATAACACACTACAGTGAGGATAGTGTTATAACACTGATACAGTGACTAGGATATACAGACCCCCTAACTTCCTGTATATACAGTGACTAGGATATACAGACCCCCTAACTACCTGTAATAACACACTACAGTGAGGATAGTGTTATAACACTGATATAGTGATATACAGACCCCCTAACTGTATATACAGTGACTAGGATATACAGACCCCCTAACTACCTGTAATAACACACTACAGTGAGGATAGTGTTATAACACTGATATAGTGATATACAGACCCCCTAACTACCTGTATATACAGTGACTAGGATATACAGACCCCCTAACTACCTGTAATAACACACTACAGTGAGGATAGTGTTATAACACTGATACAGTGATATACAGACCCCTAACTACCGGTAATAACACACTACAGTGAGGATAGTGTTATAACACTGATACAGTGATATACAGACCCCCTAACTACCTGTATATACAGTGACTAGGATATACAGACCCCCTAACTACCTGTAATAACACACTACAGTGAGGATAGTGTTATAACACTGATATAGTGATATACAGACCCCCTAACTACCTGTATATACAGTGACTAGGATATACAGACCCCCTAACTACCTGTAATAACACACTACAGTGAGGATAGTGTTATAACACTGATAGGGTGACTAGGATATACAGACCCCCTAACTACCTGTAATAACACACTACAGTGAGGATAGTGTTATAACACTGATATAGTGATATACAGACCCCCTAACTACCTGTAATAACACACTACAGTGAGGATAGTGTTATAACACTGATACAGTGACTAGGATATACAGTGGCTAGGATATACAGACCCCCTAACTGCCTGTAATAACACACCACAGTGAGGATAGTGTGATAACACTGATACAGTGACTAGGATAAATAAAGTAATTCAGATACTAACCATGGAAGTAAACACTTGGTTTACACATATTATTAGTGTTACTTCAAGATGATCAAAACACATGCCTTGTCTCCTTCTACAGAATCAAGAAAATAGCCTTCAATGATGCACATATATCATTCCGGTCCAATGCAGAATTAGTAGGCATGCCAGCATAGCAAAATCGCCGAGGACACACCCGCACAAAAAAAAAATATCATACTTCATCCTGCTGTCCTCTTCCTGGCCAGTGTACGAACATGGTAGAACACCAAACTGTGGTACAGAGCTGCTTCAAGGTAAAGCTCAATGAAGATTGCACACAAAACTGGCCTTCATAACAAACATTGGAGATGCTTTTATTTCAAAATTTCACACCTGTATCAAAATCAGTCTGGGATCTTGCAAAAGGGATAAAATCATGTTTTTTGATAAACTATTCCAGTTTTCAAAAGCAGTGCAAAAATTTCTCAACTGAAGCACAACCTAGCTTTCACAAAATAAAGTTTCAAACCATTCATCAGACAATAAACCAACTATATTGAACGGCACACAACATTCAAAAACGGGGAGAAATCTGCAGTGATAGTTTAATTGTTAGTAGGTATAAAAGACGATTTGTGCATTGAGCATAAACTGAGTTTTAATCAAAAGAAACTAGTTTACCCATCTGTCAATGCCCCCTTCAAAAGTCCATCTCTCCAAGCATACTCACTGCTGTTTCATTTCATTCATGTGTTCCGATCTCACAAAATATTAACATTTTTTTTCGACATTTATCATTAGGTCCTTTTTAACGTAAAAAAAATTCAGACTAAATCAATGGTTACAATGTGGAAACACATCATTACAAATATTGAAATAGGAATGAAGACATGAATAGGGTTGATTGTGATGGAAATACAGCACGCACCCTAATCGTTCACGAAAGTCTGATTTATATACATCAATTAACAGTCAATTAGTGTTTTCAATTCAAATCAACGACACCAAAGGAACCATTGATTTCTTTTTCCTTCTTTTGTGAAAAACTCTTTTTTTCCTGAAGTTTCATTCATATCAAAAGTCTTCAATCAGTCTTTGATCTTTATGTAATGCATTGGATTTCCATGTCTTTGACTCCTAATTTCTTGACTTTGTCAGTAAAAGTGAATTATAAGTAATTAATCATCATTTTCCATAGTAGTAGCAATCATACAAATCCGTCTCCAGACATTCCATCATTTTTTCCATGACCTGGTCAAAATTCAACACCAATATTAATAAGGACAACAGGTCCTGAAGACGTGAATCCCTAATCAGAGAACAAAGAATGCTTTCAAATATCACAGGTTTTTTACAGTTACATAAAACCATAAATAATTTCAACATAAGTGAAATACATTTATATGGTTACTTTGGCATGATAACATAGGTATGTAATTATGTGTGTGTAAATATACAAAACTCATGCATATGCCAAAATGTGTCTGTCACAAAAGCTACAATTAATAAAAAATATCCTCCACATTTAAACTCAAATATATTTCAGAATACACCGATTGAAAACTAAAAACACCAATAAAAGTTTAGTGTAAATATATACTGCAGGGATATGTACTGACTACATTGAAAATTAAAACATGAATACAAAGATACATATTTTGTCATCATAATTAACCCCAAGGTATATACTGTTTAGTATTCATCTGCTACTTCTTTGTAGAGAGCGTGGAAAGGTGGGGAAGGTAGGATTTTTTGTATTTGTATTTTGTATTTTTGATGAAAGAATATGCAATTTCTGCGATGGTAAATTTGATCACTTACTAGAATTACATGGTATCTATGTCAAAGAGATTATCTCTAATATCCATCTTCCACAAGTTGTATTTGACATAGGTAAAAAAAAAAAACCTTTGTCTATCAACGCTGTAGATATTTCTGCTAGGTTTGATTTTAATGAGAGCAGACCTTTGTTTCTGCAGCCCATTATAAACACTTATCACCAAAATATTCCATCTTAAATATGCAAATGTTTGCATAAAAACGATGGTAAAATCTTGATGATTTGCCTCGGGAATGGTGGATTCCTTACCTCCAAGGGCTTGCAGCTTTCTCTCACGTACCGCCCTGATGAACTTTTCGAATCCCAGTCTAACCGCCCCTTGTAGAAATACTTGGACTTCCTTAAGAGGGGTAACAAAAATAGAGCTTGGTGAGAGACAATACACACTCACATGCTCCTATCCACATAATCCAAGGCTACTCAATATCATCAAATTACCTCCCTTTGTGGCTCAAACCCTTCACTCTAGTTGCCTTCATCAAATAATTTTTCTTCTCTTCCTTAATTTTAGTGAATCTATAAATCCATCCATAAAAATGTTTGTTTAATTTGCAGTATTGCTGACTATAAGGAGGGCGAGTAGGTACTTTGATGTTAGTGCTAACCCTGGATCTGTGGGCACTCTAACAATATGCTCGGCTATACAAACATGCAAGCCTTACTGCTGACAAGTTCCATCGTCTTTTGTTTAATTCAGTAAAGAGATTCTCAAATTTGGAAAGCATTGAAAAATTTCCAAATTTAAAAAACTACAATTACTTTGAGATTAATTTGAAACAAGTGTTATCACTCTGGAATTTGTCAACAGAACATCATCACAGTTTTAACATCATGCCTATTGCAAGCAAAATAAAGCATTCCAAGATCCCATTTTGACATCCTTGGATTACAGACAAGGAAATGTCTAACCGCTGAGCTAAAATTACTTTTTTTTTTCTCTCTTTGACATACATAATTCAAAGTCTGTATCGTCAAGTTTTTCTCTTTTCAAATTTGATATATGGTCAAAAATGACAATGCTACAAATGAAGCTCAATGACTTTCCTGTCACCCTTGTACAAATACCAAAAGTGGATCTTTGAAAAATAAAATCATTCTCTACCTAATGAACTGAACAAAGACTGTTGAGAACAGTACACAATGCGCAGGCATGAACAGACAATGGCAGGCTGAGAGATGACGAGTGAGTATTCAACATCAGGCGGATGGGCGGCAGGGCAGGTGTCGGACGATACTTACATACAGCGGCCGACAGTTTTCTCTCACATAACGCCCTGCGGACGACGTATGGTCCCACTCTAGGCGGCCGTGCCAGAAATTATTTGTTCTTTGATAGGGAGGAGAGAGAGCAAACATGACTAGGTGTGTGTGTCAAGTGGGTCGTAAACACAAAATACATTCTATAATGCCATTTAAGTTGTTTTCATTCCCAGAATAAATTTTGATCAATCTGAATGATACTTTTACAGCGTTTCTACCACAGGGTCTAGATGATAAAAAGAAAAGCACTGATCTAACTATGCTTAATGCCTATCAATCTAAGCTCCGACATATATCAACAGGGCTTACATTAAAATTTCAAAATTCTAAAATATCAAGCTCCAAATCAAAAGTTAAACAAATATTTTAATTTCTGAATTCAGTTCTAGTCTATCATATATGATTTCTTCAGGAAGTGTTTTTAATCACCTACTTAATCTATTGAAATAGAACATCAGCAATACTAGAAAGTTTGCTATCCTCAATTTAACATTTACACTTTAGCATTATGTGCAGTGTGCCTATCTATGCAGAATAAAGCTGAAAAAGTAACAATCCAAAATATTACTGCCTAAAAGTATTTTTATCTAATTTTAAGAAGCATTGACAGAAGTTCCCACTGATTAAATTTGAATTCCAGCCAAATTTTGATGACAACAAAAGAAATCTGAAGTATGAAGGATTCTTAATGAAGAACAATATTGTTTTTTTTTCTGATCAGCTAAAACAAATTAAATCAAATAAGACCAAACCAGTGAGTACATGGGGCAGATTGTAAAATCAAAATATCCATGGGTTGAAAGGTCATTAGAGCAAAGGTCAAGCCACATAGGTCAGTCAGCATGTGCAATGATCCCATACATTTATATATGTATATATAATAAAGAGTGTAATTAAACATGTAACTCACATAACAACATTTCATAAACCATTACTTCAGTCACCTTCTGTGTCAAATTGTTCATAACGGAGAATTAGGCAGATTTTTAATAAATCTAGCTTTTTGAAAACGTGCATTTCTACACAATAGGTCAATTTGATATTGTTTGCCAAAATTTTACTTACATATATTTTTAAGTTGCTTTCAAATTGAATATTAAATGCCAAATGAACAAGTTTTTCAGAAAGCTTTATTTTGCTGAATATTTGTGAAGCTTGAACGGCTTTGTTTGAATCAAGCTTCTAAAGCTGCAAAATTTGCATATAAGCATTAGGACACATATTTAACTTTGAAAGGTACTGGTGAACTAGGGGTTTACTGAATGAAGAACAAAAGAGATACAAGTCTAATTTAGATACATACAAAATTTTAGTGCCCACCATGACATTTATACCGTTTGTTATAATATTAGTTCCGAATAAGCCAAATTTACTCCCAATTAATAGCAACATATTCAATATTTTTATATAGACAAATTTCTGAACAGTTGCTTTTATTTATCTGTGTAAAAATGGAAATGAAGGTTTTATATAAAATAGATTCATCCAATTATCCAGTTACAAAATAATACCAACATTTTCTTTTTGATTAATCAAAGACTTTTCCAATTATATTTAAAACATAAATGCACAATTTTGAGTAGTCTATACTGCTATCTCAATGACTTATCCTCGTGTAATCATTATGTTTATCAATCCTAAAATTTTGTCTTTTTTTTCTTTACATATTTTAATAATTTGTTGGGTTTTTTTTTTTAATAAAAAATCTACATTTGACAAGACGAATAAGTCTGATAACCCAGCATTTTGAAAATATCGAACTGATCTAATATTAGGGGAAGATTAAGGAAGCTATAGAAATTTGATCAAAATACGGAAATGAACGAGTGAAGAAATCCTTAATTATTACACTTCTGGCAGTGTTTTCACTCAGCTATACAAGATTTATACCCAAAAAAAGGGCCGTGTATTCTATATCAAAATGGACAGAAGATACCCTTGGAAAGTCTTGTAAATAAGGATAAGTGATTGCCCTATGTGCAGACACAAGACAATAGTGAAATACTTACTTTGTCTTTTTCACCATTCGGTAGGGCAGTGATCCCAGAATCCGCTCCATCATTGCTAGATGCTCTTTGTTATCATGAGTCTGCAGCATATAAATTTAAGTCTTTAACATCTCAACTAACATAATTATCTCCCTTTACTTGTTTGCTACAACGCATGTGGAATATCTGCACTAGTATGAAAGTTTACCTCAGAGAGTCAATTTTTTAATCCATTTGTAAGTTTGTATATTAACCATGAAATAATTTTGAAATATTTTGTAAGGCTTATCTGTTCGTAAAACATAATTACCTGGAAGAGAGTATAGCCTGTGTACAGCTCAAAGATGATACAACCCACACTCCACACATCACAGGGTTGTGACCAGCCAAGTTCTGAAACCACAAAATACAAACATAAAATTTTAACAGCCCCCAAATTCCCACTAATCACTGTTCTCTTCGATCATCCAAGCTCTCAAACCCATCATACAAACAAAAACTCAAACAGCCCCGAAATTCTCACTCATCATTGTTCTCTTTATCAGCCCTGATTTGAAACCACAACATACAAACATAGAACTAAAATATCACAAAAATTCACTGTTCATAATATCAACAAGTTGGCAGTAATACAGAGTATTTATCATTCACAATAAGTAAACCATATTTTTTCAGCATACATTTTTTTTAATATCATAATATGCATGATTAATAAATTGAGTTTTTTTTTCTAAAATGTCAATACGTTTTAAAAGGTTAGGGATAGAACTGCCTACTCATCAAATAACTACTAGATATCCACTTACCTAAGATGACCTCTGGTGCTCTGTAGTGACGTGTAGATACAATAGTACTATGATGTTCATGGTCAAATGTGGCAGATCCAAAGTCTATCAGCCGAATATCTGTGTTCTTCACTGTAAACTCGTCTCTTTTCTACAGAAAGAAAAATATGGTTTTAAGTACACTCTCATATACAACTAACCAATAGTAGGATTTAAATGTACCTCAATTTTCCCCAAGAAAATAGGACAAATACAGCATGATGACATGTCCATTAAGTCTGCAAAAAAGGCAACTAAAAGCAAGGATTCTACGTCCATGAAGTATGAGTAAGGTTTAAATGTATGTGATTTTCAGCAAAATGGTTTTATTACAACCTTTAATGATCACTATCATCTACTCACCTTTCGTGCATTGAAGGTGACATCTGCATCTGAATTAACAAACAGTATATTCTCTGGTTTCAGATCTGTGTGGGTCAGCTGATTCTCATGCAAAACTGCAAAACAGAACAAACATCCTGAATCACTGACATGAAAGATAATTAAATCAATTTCCATTATGTACTCAACATTTTTGTTTCCAAATCATCTACACCCCTCCATTGTACAACCTACTTCTGGAGAGTGTATCTAGGACCACCTACACCTCCCCCCTGTACACCCTCATCCTAAAGTGTATCTAGGACCACCTACACCACCCCTGTATACCCTCATCCTACAGACAGTGTATCTAGGACCACCTACACCTCCCACCTGTACACCCTCCTCCTACAGACAGTGTATCTTGGATCACCTACACCTCCCCCCTGTACAACCTCTTCCCACAGATGACATATCTCTGGCCATCAGCACCTGTCAGTACTTTATCCAATGTTCATCAGGGTTGATCAAATTTTCTTCTTTTTTTTTTATTTAATGAATTAAAACTGTGAACCTGTGATATAACTCTAGTGTTAAACTCAAACCAGCTGCCAAATTTAATCTCTCTGGTATGTGAGATCTGTGTTAACATGGTGTTTACAACTGGGTCTTAAGTACAGTATTACTAAGACTCCTGTTCTTATACTTGAATGAAGAGTATAAATTCTTTACTTGGTCTGTCATGAACTGTTTCCGAGGCTAGCTTCCAAGTTTAAGTACAGGTTAGCACTGCATTAGTATTGGTAGTTATGAGATTCGACAGTATTACAAGTCTTAAGTAATTTAATCAGCTGTTCAATACTAAGGAGTTTAAGTGTTCAGTACCTGCATGTCCGTACAGTGACTTGATAAAAAATCTCGTTATCTTTGAAACAATCCAAAATATAGGAATACAAAAACAAGTCAGCCTAAAAATTTATCATAGAATTCTGAAGATTTATAAACAGACATTGAAACATTATCTTTAACACAAAAACAGACCATAAAAAAAGCTAACAGACAAAAGAGTGACTCCTCGTACTTTCTGGGTATTCTTCTATAAAATCCTGTTGTGTTTATAATTGTCTTATCTCAGCCATGTGTTGAGATAGTTAACTTGAAAACTATTTCTGATCAAATGTTTAATAGAAATGTGTTCCGACTTTCCTAATCTGATTTACCATTTAACCCTGAACATCTGTAAAACCTCATGATATTATCTAAACACCTAGCATGTAGACTGGAATTGAGGCAGTATTATAGCATCCACTATCACACAAATTCCCTTTTTTTTTTTACTATATTCCACTTCTATAAAATATGAAAATATCAACGTTTTTCGTATGGGTACTTACAGTTGACTGTGTGACATAATTGTTAAAATATCAACGTTTTTCGTATGGGTACTTACAGTTGACTGTGTCACATAATTGTTAAAATATCAACGTTTTTCGTATGGGTACTTACAGTTGACTGTGTCACATAATTGTTAAAATATCAACGTTTTTCGTATGGATACTTACAGTTGACTGTGTGACATAATTGTTAAAATATCAACGTTTTTCGTATGGGTACTTACAGTTGACTGTGTGACATAATTGTTAAAATATCAACGTTTTTCGTATGGGTACTTACAGTTGACTGTGTGACATAATTGTTAAAATATCAACGTTTTTCGTATGGGTATTTACAGTTGACTGTGTGACATAATTGTTAAAATATCAACGTTTTTCGTATGGGTACTTACAGTTGACTGTGTCACATAATTGTTAAAATATCAACGTTTTTCGTATGGATACTTACAGTTGACTGTGTGACATAATTGTTAAAATATCAACGTTTTTCGTATGGGTACTTACAGTTGACTGTGTCACATAATTGTTAAAATATCAACGTTTTTCGTATGGATACTTACAGTTGACTGTGTGACATAATTGTTAAAATATCAACGTTTTTCGTATGGGTACTTATAGTTGACTGTGTGACATAATTGTTAAAATATCAACGTTTTTCGTATGGGTTCTTACAGTTGACTGTGTGACATAGTTGTTAAAATATCAACGTTTTTCCTATGGATACTCACAGTTGACTGCGTAACATAGTTGGTATGCCATATGTCGGACATGTTCTACTGGGTAGGGTATGTAGTGGTTATCTTTCTGTAATACACAAAACACCACACATACTATAGCAAAAACCGAGCTATCAATCAATCAATCAAGTATTCTTAGTCATCATAAATTTTACACCACATTTGATTGGTTAATCAAAATCATTGTTATGGCATAACTAAAATTAATCATCTGTGCCATTCTATTTATTAATTGGATGATAATTGTGTAAACATCAATGACTACCGACACATAATGATGGATACATAACAGATTGCTGCTTATACCAGAGTCCGTAAAAAGACCTTGAAAAATTAATCAATATTGCCTTCGTCTGTTAATCCTACCGACATAAATCATATATGGCAGACTGACCTGAACTTCTTGAAAGTATATAAAAAGCTAAAACTCTTTCTCTATTACCTGATCTTTAAAGAACACAGATAACTGAAACATTCACAAGTGTTGGTAAATCACGACTGTACAAAAATATAACAACCCAAACCTCAAAATGACAGTATTACCATCTTATTATCTAACATAGTTGTGTATGATTTGTACCTGCTATTATAACAATGATTTTTTTTTAAATGTCTCTGGTTTACATGTGTATGTAAGGTTTTTTCACAAACACAAGTACTTATGATAAGAAAAAAACTTACCAGGAAGTCGAAGACGCTGAGGCCCAACATTTCAAATGCTATACAGACGTGCCCATGGTAGTCAAACCACTCTATTGTGTTGACACAAAGGCTGAAATTCAAATCACACAGTAACAATGAAAATGCCAGGAAAGTCAGATATGTCTAGAAAAGTCGGATAAAAACACATATTGAGAAGCAATTTCATGTATTGAACCCATATGCTGCGTAATGGTTTGCACCGAGTGTTTCATAACAGATTAAGATTAGATACAATCCTTTTGTCTATCTGAAACAGAACTCTGAAAATAAAAGTGTTTTTCATTTCTACATTTAAAACTTTTTCTTATCAGAATGGATTAAAGCTTTTTCCTAAACTGGATCACTACCATGTAAAAACCTACAGTCTGAATGAACGAAAAAATAAAATAAAAAAAAAGACCTGATTAATATCTTTCTATCTTTTATCTTATAAATTATTAACATGAAGATGACAGGGATGTCAATTCAAAAGATTATTTTTCTTATTCCATATTCAAATTTCAAATAAGCAAATCATTTTCATAACAATTCCACATGGTACAAATTTTTTCAGGAGGCAGTCCGTAACCAATACGGAACAGAACAGTGCTTCGGTCATGGTCATTTAATATAATGCTTCATCTTAAATTTAACAACTAGCTTTTTTAGTATTTCAACATTGCAGAAAATAGCAAAGTCGAAAGAAAATGTTACTCTGGCAGACAGGATGATAAATATATTAAACACATTGAACAACTTGTCTACTCACTATTGTCCGTTTGGGTCTTTGGCTCGGAGTTTCTCCAAAACATTGATTTCCAGCTTGGCAGCCTCTCGATACTTCTCAATATTTTTAATGATCTTCAGTGCTAACCGTTCTCCATTCCTGAAAGGATTGAAAGATACAATCTTGGTGAATGAAAAGTCAGGTGAAGAACTATCCTTGACATTTAAGTTAACCTATGATAAAGTTAACTTATAATATGTTGCTGTCAAAACATCAAAACTCCGAAACAGATTTGTTCAATTTCACCACATCAAACAATCACACCACAGAAACCATTTTATCAACTGATTGCATCCTATTGCAAATAATACCTGATAGCCCATTGTTTTTGCGGGGATGATATTTTGCAATTTTACAGTACATTAAAGATACCATGAAATTGAGTCTGTGAAATAATATGACGTGTAAAAGATGTCCTTTTTACGTCTAGAGTGCAAAATTTTAATTCATTTGACGGTTTGGAAAGAAAATTGCAAAAATTTTGACCTGCAAAATTTAATTAATTGAAATATCACTTGATCGTTTGGAAAGGAAATTGTGAAAATTTTGACCTGCAAAAATTACCAACTATATGGTACTTATACAAGAATTGCCACTAAATCATTAACCAAAACCACCGAGACATGGCATCATTGTGTACCCTTCTTCAATTCAGTGAGCTAGAGGGAACAACTGATACAGTTAACACTACTAGGCACATAGATATACACTGCTTTAAGTCTATGTCCAATGTCATTGTTAACAGCGATTTCCAGTAAGGCTTGATCAAACATCTACATTTCCACCATGCAAGTGATTGTTTCAGATTAAATCTTTGGAAGATATTTAACTTTTCGACTTTCTTCACAAAAACATCCACATTTCCGCCATGCAAGTGATTGTTTCAGATTAAATCTTTGCAAGATATTTAGCTTTTCGACTTTCTTCACAAAAGCGCATGAAAATATCTCATACATAATTGATTGATGACAGACTGCGATACATCAGCTTGATTTTTTTCTCATCGTCCCGCAAACTGTGGATGGAACCCATCAATATCTCAGTGTTGATACATACTGATCAACATCTTCCAGGAACTTTATCTTATCCATTTGGGACGAAACAGAGATAGATGTGCAGTAAGATGTTTTTGAGTGTGTTGAAGAATACCATCCCCAGCAGCAGCATGTATTCACATGTTTGTATTTAACAGTTTGCAGTTTTTCTTCCTTTTTCACAAATTTCCTTGATATAAATTTTCCTATCTTATCTATTCTATCTTAATCTTGTATCATATTAATTTGAAATATCTCCGAAATCTACATTAGTAAATTGACAATACAGCTAAATCAGCAACATTTATCTTAATCAAGCTGATTTTATCTGGTTTAACTGCAGAAGCAATAACCGATCAATCTATATTGATGTCAAGAAAATGTTCCTACATTTGGATGCTAACTGACACAATAACATTGTCTTGACATGAGCTGAATTATCCCTACAGTTCCAAGATAGCAGGGCTGTGATGGGTATAGAATCCCCAGTATTTTACTACCCAACCTGTATCTGTGTTACACACTTTACAGCACCCTTACATGAAACTAGTGTCTACATAAGGGTGCAGTAAAGTTCTGTGATGCCCAGCTGATGTATTCCTCAATGAATAAAAAAGTCTGGCTGTAAAATATCGTTATCAGCAAGATAAGATGACTATGAGAATGTCTGGCAGGGTTGACTGGCTTTAATAAAGGATGTTGATTCGGTGTTGAAACTAGTCAACGTCCTTGATTAAAGTCGTCCTTGATTAAAGTCGATCAAAACTGTCAGACGTCGTCATGGCCATCTTTATCTATTGATACTTTTGTTGAGTTGGGCTTAAAACTGAAGAGATGGGTGAACTAGACTTCCTTGACATCACTGTAAACACTTGGATCACAAGTCAGAAGTTTTATTATGTCTGATGAGCTTACCAACATGTACACACATTAACTCACACAACAGCAATTAATCTCATTTGGCCTACCTCTTGTGTTCTTACCCATACAACATCAGTAATCTTTTAAGAACACAAATCTGACATAAAGGATATTCTCATGATGAAATACAGATGTGGTAAAACAAACGATGCCTGTGAACATTTCAAAAAAAGATCAAGTAGTATCCTTTGTGAATGAGATCAGTAAATAAGCGAGATATTGTATCAATTTAATCAGTTTTAAGAAATGTTTCCCATTATGATGGTATCCATGTACAGCGGACCTTCAATAATCCTGACACTTTTGTTCCCGGCCAAAAAGTGTCCGTACAAGAAATTTTCCCGACTGTGGAGTTTAGTCAACCGGCCAATATAACTAGAGCTATCTTCCTTTATTACCAGACGATAAAATTGTCAATATGATGCTGTTGGTTGTTTTCAGACTGCAAATACAGGTATTTATATACGTCTTTCATTGTCAAAGTAACTTTCATTTTCTATAATAAATGTACATGAATTAAATTTAGGAAATGAAAGTTGTTCTTACTCATTGAAGTCCAATACTGCGGATGATTTATTTAATGTCTGCTCAATATCAAGTGATATTTTACTAAAAAAATTGATAACTTCTGATTTCTTCATATGATATGCACTACAAACAGTGTATTTTTGTTTGTTTTTAGCACAATTCGGATGCTAATTCTGCAATGACTAAGACAATGAGTTGTCATCTGGAACTATTCTACATTTATAATTAAGTGATTTTGTTGAATTGACTGCATAATGATCACTATAACTACAGATTTGAAAACAATAAAATAGCGTTGTTTAAAAACTGAAGATATTTATTTTTCTCAATTCACTTTTATATGTATTGACTGATTTTTCTCTCAATTCAACTTTTACTGACTGATAACTTGGAAATCCATGCCATGTTTTTCTACCTTAATTATGTGTAAGTATTGAGGGACAAGGGCCAATATTTTATTTATTTGTATTTCTATGGTCTATAACCAATGTTTATTACATCTTTTTCTTTATTTTATCTCATGAACAATATACCATCATTACTATCAATGTTTAAAACTATAATGAAATGCAGAACAATGTGTTTTCTTTATACAGAACTTGCTATATATGAATATATTGGATAATTTAGGATTAACTGCCACACAGAAAACAAGACCAGACTTTGATATTTTCTTTACAATTAATTCACTTTGTCCTATATAGAAGTACTGCTAAATAACATTGGTAAATGTTTCCGGTGTTCATCTTTCTGGGGTTGCTTTGACTACAGTGTTTGGTAGTATGCTGTACACCTCTGGTAAAGGTGACGGAAAAAAACAGATTTTCCGAAAAAGTATTTCCAGACTGGTAAGTAAAATGAACCCCATGGAAATCTGTTCCCCAACATTTCTGTCCTTATAGCCAGATTTCCAGACTATCGGCATTCAGATTATCGCAATTCCATTGTACTTGTGAACAACTCTGTTTACTTCTCCAACCGGACTCTTGTCCAAGGGGACACTTGAATACACAATCCAGCCCTACTTAACAATGAATACTTTAATGTGTTACATTGTACAAGGTAAAACTAAGGCTAAAATTTCCTTATTGTACAGTAAAAACCGTTTAAATGTTAGTCTCCTATTATATACTGTGTAGTTGTTTATTTTTGCAGGGCTGGTATTCACTATGGTTTTGTTTTGGCTCGTTCAAGATATTACATTTCCTGCATGTCTATATACTGATATGCAAGTATGAAGGCATGTAATACATCATTTGTGAGATATAAGTACACCGTAAATATGTTTGCCAATCTTTAATTTCATGCTATCCTTAATCGCTTTGAATGTCGTAAAATATTTGCATCCCGGGAGTGTATTCTCTATTTGGCTTCACCGACAAAATTGATGTTAACACTTTGGTAAACATCAAGTCTGACAACTTTTTCTGCCAAAATGGTATTAGCTATTCCATCAGGTGTCAGGCTGTTCCATCAGTTTATGTAACATCCAATGAATAATAAATTTTTTTTTAAGTAGCATGAACAATATCACTTTGTGTCTTACATTTCCCGAGGGACACACTGCCTTGATAACGCTGAAGCCATATCCTAAGTATTAAGTTCGCATGATTAGCTGTGTAGAAGATATGGCCCAGACACACTTATTCTTTTACATAGGCTGAAGGATAAAAAAGGTCATAGAACAATGTACGGTCACCAAGATGACTCCATATTCCCAAGTAATAAGCTCCTATTATAACAAGTGTAGAAGTGGGTCAAATTTTGATATAGGTCAAGGTCAAAATGTAGATCAGTGACCTACTTTTTTGACAGGCAACATATCATCCCATCAAGGTGAACCAATATCTTTGGTATTAAGTTCCCATGATTAGTTATGTAAAAGATAGGGACTGGACAAGATAGCCAAAGGACTGAAAGAGAGATGAAATGCAATACTATAGTCCCCTCTGATTCTTAGTGGAGGACTGGTAGCAAACAAATATCTGTCAAAACACAAATATATGAAACAGCTTTTCTTTCTTGTTGTTTACTGGTGTGTATTTTTAAAGATATCTAAATATCACAGTAAAATATGTCATTTAAAAAATCTTAAAAATGAAGTTTTCACACGAGTTACAGAAAGAAAGGAAAACATATTTTAATTACCAACTGTGCAGTACATAATTATGCACATGTTTTTTTTTCTAAAGTTTCCTTCAGTACATATCTGATCATTAGTTTGACAGCTTACTTCCAATATCCTACAATCTGATAAAATGTATGTTTTTAGCAATTTACTGTTTAATAAATATGTTTAAGGCAACCATGTACACATATTTGATACCATGTTAAATAACACTGTACATGGCCATTTAATATATCCTATATCTATATATATAGAATTCATCACATTTTCACTATATATATATATATATACACGTATATACCATTAATGGCAGAGCTACTACACAGTGGAATCTAACTTGTACATAAAGAGAGCCTTCAACCTACAACCAAATCCAATATTCTGCATGCACCAGGCATAGTTATAAGAAAATAAAGAATGAAACATATGTGATAATTATATTCTCTTAGCAAAGAACCAGAAAAAAAAGCCTGGTTTCTATAGGCAGA